TCAAGCCTGTCAATCGATCGTAGGAGAACCGATTTGGCTGAGCAGATAGACGATTCGACATTCTGCGCAATGAACGACGACGCACCCACCAGGATTATGGGCAGCTGCTGCAGCCCTCCGGTTATAACAATAGTCAGCGCTGGTCTGATAAACAGCATATCACGGCGACCTATGCTGACTTTGGCATCAGACCATCTGCCCATAGTCATCTCGATCGATAAACGAACCGACTTTGCTTCCGCGGAGCACCGAACATATATCAACTTCTCCAAAGCTGATTGGAAAGGCTTCGCGGAATTTACTGAAAACACCTTCGCTGCTCTCCCCACACCAACCGAGGTCCACCTTGGTGAACGTAAGTTCCGCAGGGCTGTCACTCCTGCTGCAGCCCGCTTCGTACCGGCAGGATGGATCACTGACCCACGTCCAAATTTCCCTGTCGAAGCGGCTGTCCTAGCCGATGAGCGTGACAGCCTTCGTCAGGCCGATCCCGGTGATACCCGTATCAGGGATCTCAACGCGGATATTTGGCAACTAGTGAACGTACATAAGCGGAAGAAGTGGGAAGAACATCTGAAGACCTGTAACTTCACCTCTGGTGTGAGTAAGCTTTGGTCAACCGTGAGGTCACTGTCCAATCCGACGAAGCACGACGACAGACTCGAAATTTCTTTCGGCGACCATGCCTCGTCGGACCCGGAGCGATGCGTGAGCTACCTTAGCCGGCAGTGCATACTGCATCCTCCGGTGGACAAAACCAAGGCTGCACAAACTGCCAACAAATTGTGCCCCCTTGCTTTCACTTGCGGTGAAGTTCAAGTGGCCATCGGGAAGGCGAAAGCCTCCAAAGCCATGGGTCCCGACGGAATATGCATGCTGATGCTGAAAAATTTGAGTCCTGCGGGAGTAGCGTACGTAACGGAGGTCCTCAATTTGTCTATGGTCACTCTCATCATCCCAGACATCTGGAAGGTGGGGAGAGTGGTCCCACTGCTCAAACCGGGGAAACCTGCCAACAAAGGAGATTCGTATCGACCGATAACGCTCCTTTCCCCGGTAGCGAAGACACTTGAGGCGCTGCTGCTCCCATATTTCACGAACCACCTGACCCCAGAGAAGCACCAGCATGGTTTCCGTAAAGTGCACAGTACAACAACAGCACTTAACGCCATAAACACTCAGATAACTGGTGGCCTTAACCGTAACCGTCCCTGTAAGAGAACGATTCTAGTAGCGTTGGACCTGTCAAAGGCTTTTGACACTGTCAGCCATTCCACGCTACTAGAAGATATAAAGGCTTCCTCTCTCCCACAGAGGCTCAAACGGTGGTCGGCAAATTATGTGAATGGTCGACACTCGTCGGTAATGTTTAGAGACAAATCGAGCAAACTTAGGAAAATCAAACAGGGGATTCCACAGGGTGGTGTCCTATCCCCGCTACTGTTTAACTTTTATATTTCAAAGCTCCCTCAACCACCAGAGG